TTTTATGTGATTTTCTATAAAATATGTGGCACATAACATATGTGAAAAAAATCTTAAAATATGCGCATATATTTGCGCCACATATTCCTGGACACCCTAAAATGTATGTAATCCAATTAAGTTTAGAGCTTCCTTTTTTTTTTCCCCGATGCTTTCGATATTTGGGTGTCCAGTAAAAATTTATAACAATAAAGAAACAGCTTTATTAAATGTAAGAAATAATGAAACCAATGAGATAGAAAAAATTAAATTATACGATTATGTTCAGAAAAATTGCCCTTCATTAATTGGAGAAAAAGCTTATTATTATCCTACTCCTTGGATTGGAAATGGTCATGCTCAAACTGCTTATGCTGCTTATCAAAACTTTGAAGGAATCCACTTAATTGATTATGAGAGGTGAGAATTATCAACTACTTTTTTTTTAAAATTTTTTAATTGGATTATTTTTAATTTATTGATAAAATCAGGAAATTTGTTTCTACCTCTGATGGAGGACAAATTGCTGTCGATTGGACTCCTCCAGTTAGTAACAAACCATTTGATAATACTCCGACGATTATCGTCTTACACGGATTAACCGGAGGTATCAATTTTTTTTTTTTTTTTTTAAAAAAAAAAAAAAGGTGTTTACTAATTTCTTTTCTTTTCTTTTTTTTTTTAATTTTATTAGGAAGTCATGAATCGTATATTAGATGTTTATTAGAAAGTCTAGTTAACCCGCCGTATAATTATAGAGCTGTCGTAATCAATTTTCGTGGGTGTGCAGAGTCTGATATTACATCACCAAGACTTTATTCGGCCGGCGTAACTGATGATATTAGACCCGTTATCAGTTATATTAAAAAATGTATTCCTAATGCTCCTTTAATAGGTATTGGATTTAGTATGGGTGCAAATATGTTAATTAAGGTATATTGACACAGTAGTTTTGCTCTTAAATCTATTTGAGATTACAATGATTTTTTCTTTATATAGTATCTAGGAGAAGAAGGTGAAAGAACTCCTTTGTTTGCCGCGGCTTCAGTTGCGAATCCTTTTGATTTAATTGGGTTTATATTTTTTCATTAATTCAGTGGATTTCTTTTCTTCTTTTGTTTCTAAAAAAATAATATATCTATATAACTTTTTATAAATTTTAGTGGAACCAGATCGTTGGAAAGGACTTACATTGGAAAGTACGTTTATTCACCAACTATGGCGAATAATCTTAAAAAGGCACTTGCAAGACATGAACATATCATGAAAGATGACAAAAGATTGGATTTGGAATACGCAAAATCGGTCAGTTTATAAATTAACGTTTTCAAAAAAAAAAAAAAAGAAATATATGTGTGTGTATAACTTGCTTATTCAAACCTTTTCTTTAAAAAAAAATCAAGGCATTTACGTTAAGAGAGTTTGATGCAAGATTAACCGCAATAAGTTTTGGATATGAAACAGTAGATCATTATTATAGAGACGCCAGTTCGTCACAATATATAACAAAGGTCAAAATACCATTGTTATGTTTAAACGCTGAAGATGATCCAGTTGCTTCACACGAATGTATCCCTTTTGATGAATGTATTTATAACCCAAATATTATTTTAGCAACTACTTATTATGGTGGTCATCTTGGTTGGTTTACCGGTTGGTGGCAACCAACTAGATGGTGTATTAAACCATTATCTGAATGGTGTATTGCCCTTTTAAAAGTAAGTAATATTTATTTTTTAAAAAAATTTTTGTATAAAGCATTACTCTGATAATATTATTTTTTTGTATAGACCTGTAAAAATCCTAATAATAAGTCATTTTTAAATGATGATGAAAATAATTTAAGCGAGGAAGAAACTGTCTTTGATGAAAATTAAAGATAATCAGTTCGGTTTTTAACTTATTTATTATAGAAAATAAAATCTATTTATTTATTAATATTTATATTTATACTGATTATTTATTTATACAATAAACTATTATTTATTATTTTGAAATCTATACACGGGGTGTCTGAACACAATGTGAAATTAATTACTAAAAACATAGTAGGGTGTGATGCTGTATGATAAATAGCAACCTAATATGTATACTAACACTAAACTAATCTTAAACTAAACAAATATAATATGAATTAATATAATGTGAGATCTTTATAATAAAATAAGAAATTATGAAAAAAATCAATTTTACTTTTTTTTATATGCTAAATATGATTTTTTAGGTAATTTAAATTTATTTAATTATATAATTAAATTAATATTAATAATTTTTAAATATTTATTTTATAATGTTAAATAAGTATTAGATAATGTTAGAAATAATGATAGATTTATTTTTTATATTAACAGAATAGATAAATAAATAAAATATTAATTTTGAAAAAGAAAATCATTTTTTAGATGTTTTATATATATTCTTAATATACTGTAGCTTTAGAAGAAGCATTAAAATTTTTAAATGTAAATAAAATCAGATTTAATTTTATTTTTATTTATAAAAAATGTAACTTTATTAAAATTTTTTTAATTTTAATAAAAAGCTTAGAAAAATTATTCTAAAAATTTGTTTTTTTTAATAATATGAAAAATTAAACTAATTTTAATATATTTAATATATAATATGATTAAAGAACTTTAATTTTAAAAATTTTAATATTATTTTTTTATAATAATTTTTATAATTAATATTATATTATAGGTTTTAGAATCAATTATATTATTTAAATTATAAATTTAAAAAAATATACTTATAAATAAAGATTGAAATAATTAGTTCAACACAAAATGAAAAACTATATATACAAATTT